AATAATGAATACTTTCAGAATTTGCATTAAAAAAATGTTTTTTTTTATATTGCTTCCCCACTGTGCACACAAATGTGTAATTTGTACTTTCACATGCTAAATGCCCATGTGGTGCAGAAACAGTGAGGCTTACATTTTAAAATAATGCATTACAGGAGTATGAGACATCATGTTGATGTGACTGTGCACATGTATATATCTGCAATGTTGTTCTTCAATTCCATATTTATATATTTCCACATTTATATATGTTGACTGTATGTTTGTCTGCATGTAGCACCTTATCACCACAGCAAATTCCTCGTATGTGTAAAACACTACTTGGCAATAAAGCTCCTTCTGATTCTGATTATTAATGAACAAATAACAATAATTTTTACTGAATAATTAAGTAAATATTTCTTAATATATCTATCTAAAGAAACCTCATTATTTGACTGGCAACTCTCTGCTATCTCAAAGATGACATCTTTTTTCCTGTTGGATAGGGGAGGGGGGGTGCAATCATCACCCTTAGATGTCACTAAAACTTACACCTTTAATAATATGTGTTGCAGCACTAGTAGAGTAGGCATAAATATACCAGGAATAACATTAGTAAATATACTAACAGTACTGATATCAGCTCACTGATATGTTCTCACCAATCTAGCTATGTTTTGGGGCAACCTCCTCATTTGTAATTTTTTCATAAAATATGTGTCATTACTTAGTTTTTGTCAACACCATCAGACACAATAAAGATCCAGTTAATCCTATTTATTTAGTCTTATAGTGATTTAGAGCTTTAAAATAATTGTGTCTACACCATAAGTAGACATATGTTATTAAATGTTGAATACTAACTTTCGTTCATTTTTATACTATTCCACATGTATCCCTCTAAAAACTTTTACATAGTGCAACATTCATTGAAGTATACAAAATAACAATTTGGGGCTTAAAAAACACAATTTTTAAAATTTTAAAGTGACAATGAATTTTTTTCAGTATGTTCCCATCTTTAAATATCTCTTGAAGTTTATTTTCAAAGCTTTCACCTCTCTCAAGTATCTTGCTCTTGTTATTTTCCCCTTTCCCCTGCTACAGACGTCGTACAGCGAGCTGCGGCTCCTGCATAGACTGATCCAATAGATTATCTGGGGGAGTTTCTGGGTTCTGGTCATTTTTAGCTGCCCATCCTCTTCTCTCTTTTTTCCATCTTGTTTTTCCTTTCCCAGATAGTCCTCCTTTAACTCCTGGCTCACTACATATTTTCTCTCCTTTGCTCCTCCACTAATAGCTGCATATCTGTAACTTCGTAATATACATAAAAGAAAAGTCAGAATGTAATTACTATGAAATTGTGCAAAACGTCTATGAATTTTGGTGAAATGTTATAAAATCCATCCATCCATCCATCGTCAACCGCTTATCCTGCATACAAGGTTGCGGGGGGCTGGAGCCAATCCCAGCTGACATCGGGCAAAATGCGGGGTACACCCTGGACAGGTCGCCAGTCCATTGCAGGGCCACACATAGACAAACAACCACTGACACCTAAGGACAATTTGGGAGACACCAATTAACCTAGCCCACGCAAACAAAGGGATAACATGCAAACTCCACACAGAAAGGGTTTGAACCCACAACCTTCTTGCTGTGAGGCGACAGTGCTAACCACTGCACCACTGCGCCGCCCTTGGGAAATGATGTATCATATAAATAAACAGGCTGTCTAACACCAACGCTCTTTGAAAAATTGACTCTTAGAAAAAAGTATAATTATTTGATGCAAAAGGTACCCTTCAGTGTCTGTATGAGATGCCCGGGAGAGGGAAGAGCTGCATTTGTGTTAAAGGCGTTGACAGCCCTCCCAAGACCCTTACCCTTATTATAACCAACACAGGGGTTTGTGCTAAGTCAGTGACTTTATGCATGTCAACCGGCCAACTCTGTAGCTGTGCACAGGAAAGACATTTCACTTAGGGGTGCTGTATAGTAGAAATGCGTGCATGTGTGTGTGGATACGCACTTGCACACTTTAGTTCAACACAGAGTGGTCGTATGAGGTCACTGTTGCGTTTTTTCAGATTTTGAGAAAGGAGAGGCTCAGTCCAATGAAAATTAACAAAAAGATTTAATTACAAAAATTAGTGAATAAAGAGATGGCATTACAGAACAAACAATAACACTGCAGTGGACTGAAAAGTTGGTCCTCCGTTCAGATTTACAGCTTTCAGTCAAGTCCGAACAGACTGAGCTAAAGCCGCCTCCAGCAGTGGACTGAAAAGCTGCTTCTCCTCCCAGATCCACAGCTTACAGTCCTGATTCTCACAAAATAAATTGTTAATATCCTCCAGGTATGTGGGCGGGTCCATTTTCCTCCAAATGGCTTAGGTCCATAGCCATTGGTCCTCACCCAATTGGGAAGGGTGTACCTTACTGTTCTACCTTTTGGTCGAACAAAAGAGCACCAACCCAGACCTGAAACCCCCTTCAATCTACAGGAATAAACAGTCTTTTGCTCTAAACTAATCATAGAGAACAACTGGGCTTGTCTCCAAAATGGTTGACACCCTATCTTAAGTGTCAATGAAACAGTCAAAACAAAACAGTCCTTCTGGCACTAAACAAAGAGGTGTCAGTTTTCTTCACATTACAAAGAGGATACAAACAATGGTTTAATCAATATTCTGATGCAATTGCCTGGCCTAAAATCCTGCAGTTTTACATTTGAAGAAAAACACTGAAACACTGGAATACATTACGTTTGTTGTAACTTTTTTAAACTCAACATCACCGAGGTCCGGACATCAGTAATTATATGTATGTATGTATGTATGTATGTATAATAATAAAAGGAATAATAGAAAGATTAAATGTAGGGAGAATTTTTTTTCTGTCATTACATAAAATGAATGGCACAGTTTATTTCACCATTTCCACCATCATTTCAACTTGTTCCATACTCAGTGTCCACATTTTGGACTGAGAGCACCGCTGGTTGTGGGCAGAGCTTTGGACGATACATTTTGTGACTTTCAGGTTGGGTGAAATAGGGTGAAGCGTCTCATTAAGAGAGACATTGGGCGCATTAACGCACAGCAGCATAAATTCATATTTAAATCTCGGAAATTGGTCAGAATCTAATGTTAATTAATGTTCTGTGTTCTGCTACACATCCAAAAGGTCTCACACACAGTCCAGGTTCATACAGTGAAACTGTCTGGAGTAAAGCATCTGTCCTCCTGATCAATCCTGGGTTCCATCAGAGCGTCTAAATTCTTTCATAAGCTAAAAGTCGAATTGCGTTTCCTCTGCAGTTTCCTCTGTCTGTCCTGTCACATTTATAACTACAGTTTTTAGTTTTGCTGCATAAATGTCCCATGGTATTTACTGCACCCATGAAAATGTTTAAAATGACTGAGAGGAGCCTCTCTAATTATGAAAGTAAACCATCAAAGAAAACACTCATACATCAATACAATAAAAAATCACCTGGAAAGTTAAAATAACCGGTAGAGGTGGGTACGTCAGTTATTAGGCTGTAATATGAACCAGAGCATTGTGCACTGATCTGGGGCGAGTTCAATCTCTTAACGCTTTGCACCGGTTTGCACAGGCTTCGAGGTATGTTTTCTCCTGTTTGGTGGGCGTGTCTCAGGTGTTACCCAATCACAGCTGCGACAAATGACAAAGGCAGGCAAATTCAGTGTGCTTGCGTACACAACAGGGTGTTCAGGGAATCACCGTTTCCTTTAAAAAAAACGTTTTGCTATGTTTTGTTGGCGCTGAACTCACCCCTGGTGTCATTTAGTAACAATAGTGCCCATTATGTAGTCTGCACATGTCATTTGCCCACTGTGTTCCTCCCTGTCAATAGGGTGTGCTGCAGCCCCCAATGCCCACTTCCCCTTTTTTAAAATAAATATATGAATAATCTACTAAAAAAACTAAACAACTAAAATTGTGCAGAAGATCCTCAGATGATAAACACTGGTTGTTTTAAATAAAAAAATGTTTCAATGGAATTAGCAGTTTTCTTCTTTGTTTCTTTCTTTGTTTTTGCCGAAATCAGTGAGCTGTAGTACCTGCAGTAATGTGTTTTATTTTCCAGAGAGTGATCCAGCTGCAGTCTACTCAGCGGTGAGAGCAACAGATGACATAATTTATGGACAAATAGCCATCAAACCACGCAGGACGAGAGGTACAGCTGCTCTTTATTTATGAAGTTTGGACAGAGACAGGCATGCTGTTTCACCCTACTTCCAGTCTTTATGCTAAGCTAAGCTAACCCCTTTCACACTATTTTAATGAATAGATGTAAAGCCACAATCATCATCACCATAATTACTTGCCAACTTCCAGACTTCATCCTAAATTGGGAGATCAAACCTAATCCGGTATCTGGAAATGTGTCTCATACCAGAGACAGTTTTTGTGGATTCTAGTTGTTGCAATGCAAGTGCACAGGTGTTGCTTCAACATTGGAGGAGACACTTCTTAAGTGGAGGGAGTGGGGTCTTCCTACAGAACATTTCGAGGATTAAACATTTAATTTGTTTGAGATTTTCTGTTAGAATTCCTGCATTTTCTGCATCAATTTATGGTGGAAATGTTTATATTTATGTAAAGGGAAAACACAAATTCAGGCGGCAAAATATTAAAATACAACAGAATATAATGCAGTAAGGCTCTCAGGCACTTTGTATTGCTTTCAGATATGTTTTCAACCTGTACATCATTTTATTTAATTTTTAAACTCTTGGACTCTAATAGCTCCTCTGATTCATCAGATTTTCTGTTCATTCAGAATCTATACCACGTATCTGTGCCAGCAAAACCTTTACCACCTTAGACGTTTCGTAAGTTTTACTGGTGCGACCTGATTCAGTGAATCACTAGTTTCAAATTCTCGTTAGAGAAGTCAGTGAAGCAGAGTTGTTGTCTGGTGATGTAGTTTCTTTGTCTCCAACAGTTTCTCATGTTGTTTGAACTGTTTGTGTTTGTGTGTTCAGAGTTTCCAGCAGAGCCAGAGGTCGTCTACTCTTCACTGAGGTAGACCTTCACACCTTCACACCAGTCCAACCACTGATGTCCAGCTGGCCTGGAACTGGTCCCCAGAGCCCCTCACACCTCAGCACATCCATTTATACAATTCTTATTTTTATATGATTTAGATAAATTAGACAAAGCAACACTTCCTCATACAGAAATATAAACAAAGTGCCCCAGAACGACACACTGTATAAGTTGGACAGTACAATGACATACAGGCGTACTGGGCCTTCAGTACTCTGTGTAAGTCATCCACAAAACTTATTTAATTAGTATTAATTTAATTAAAACATGTCAATTTTGACTTTCTTTCACTGGGACTCAATCGTTGGGCTCCTGAGTGAAGGTCTTCAGTTTACTTCACTCATCCATCCACAGACTTTGTTTCTGGTAGCTTCACGTTGTTTTGTGGGTAATAACTAAGTTTACTGTTATTTTATGATTTATTTATGTTTCTTGTTGGCACAGCAACGTGTTTCTTTGTTGGATCAATAAACTTTGTCTCGTTCTTGTTTTTCCTCTGTGGTTCTGTTGGTTTCACAAAGCTGTTGGATGGAAAATTTGACTTGAAGGTTTTGCTGTGGCTAACCGATACACACATGCGAAACTCACCCCTCTTCAGTGCAGATCACTAAAAATAAACAAGACCACAACCACACAGACTGAACAGAATGTATTTCAGCTTAAGTACAGTGTGTCCTTAACTAGATTGATTGAATGTTTATTGGTCAAAACAGGTTTTATATGCAGATTCACCAATTATGAAAAATCCATCCATCCGTCGTCAACCGCTTATCCTGCATACAGGGTCGCGGGGGGCTGGAGCCAATCCCAGCTGACATCGTTTGTGATAATACCTCTATGAGTCACCGAGGCCTTAAAGCTCAAATGTAAAAAAAACCTATTAAACCAAAAAACAAAAGTAAATACATCAAAGCAACAATTACAAACAGGCCACAATGACCTGATGATTTTCTTTTTACTTTATTGAGACACATTTGAAAACAATCATTATATTTAAAAACAGTCATTATTTTTAAAAAACATCCAGAAAGTTTAGCTTAGCTTTCGACCGTTCGAGACCGGTCAGAACTGGGATATTTCCCAGTTGAAACTTCCGACTTCCCACCTCAAAGCGTTCCAGGTGCACGGTGGTGCACGACGCCGAAAGTGAACAAAAACCATGGCTGACCGTGACAAAGTGTGCACACAGTTGCACCCTCAGCAGTGCTTTAGGTGTTACTTCAAAGGATGGCAGTTTAACTGCAACCAACTGATATAAATAGCCTCTACCTTACTAGTTCTGTGAACCCCTCTAGCTACATCAGCTGGTAACCCTCAAGTCAGTCAGTGTTGTAGGTTACACTTCCTAATGTTTTGGCATTTTTAACAATAACTTTTATGCAGAGAAGATTACTTTGAGATTCTTTCCTGTAGCCAGCTACCTAATAGGCCTAACATATTTCTACATCAATGCACATGCAGAACAGGTTTTACTATATGATTGTATGTATTTTAATTTTAATACATGCAAATATACGTTTTGTTGCCTTTTAGTTTATGGTTTACCATTTACAGTGTGTGTTTCCATGGGCGCTGACATTGTTTTGTGACGTCATTCAGCTGCTACTCGTTAAGTCGGGGTACATATTTTTCCTCCAAGTTCACAAGTAGGACTTAGTGTTGTGTTGTTCAATGAACGTTTTGTTCATAAGACCTAATCGTGTATATGACTCGGGAGGAACGGGTTGTCTCAGTGAGTGATTCATTCATTTACTTGCATGCGTGAAGGATCTTGGACTCTTACGTTCACTCGTCACAGGAAACAGAACTGATTAGTTCACGACTCTCAACTGTGAGTCTGTCTGAGTCGTTCATTTCTCACGTGACAGCTCCTACTGTGGAGCAGGAATGAGCGACTCGTTGCTGTATGAATGAGCACTTCAGAGATAATGATAGTAATTATAACATAAGCCTTTATGTGGCTGGTCTGGTTGTCTACTACTCGGGAAAGATTGTGAAAATGGAAGGATTTAGCCGGAGTAGTGGTGATTACATATTGACAACATATTTCTGTGGTTTTTACATGGTTTGAATTTGGTTGTGGGCCCAGGGGGGTTTATATAATGATGATATACAGTAATCAAGAGGTGAATTTGTGCATTATACTTTGTCAAATAAAGCAAGCCAGGCAGCCTTCTTTGCTTTTTAATCGCCCACTAGAGGGCTGCACCCTAGTTCAAATGAATGAAATGACTCAAAAAAAATTAGTTCATTTTAATGAATGAGATTTTAATGAATGAGTCTGTCAAAAGAGTCGAACTTTCCATCACTGATAGGGTTACGATATTAAAGCCCTATAACATGTCTTATATTTTCACTGAATGCCCCCTGAATTCAGTTTGATGGTAAATAAAACACAAAGGTTACGATATGGTAACCCTAGTTCTATAAACACAGGCGGAGTCCTCAACTTGACTTTATGGGTATTACCTCCTCCAATCTCAACCACACATCACCCTCTGAAATTTGAATTGTGCACGTAGATGACCATTAGATCGTGGCTACTGTATTATAGCAGTGTCCCTGCTGCAGACTAACCCTTCAGCAGAGTGGCATGGAGCGGCAGGGCCCATCAGTAGAGGGCCACGCTGTGACCTTCATGCTTTCTCACACAGGCTCCGCCCCCACTGGACTCTATGGATACAACGGGTGGAGCCCAATGACTGTCCACCCCAGCAACAACAAGCCAAGCCAAGCTGATCAGTGCGTCCGATGGGGGATGCAGTTAAATGAGCCAGTTTTCTTTTTACATCGATTTGAATGTTGGTGAATTCAGTGAAAATATTAGACATTTTCAATGGCTATAACTTTCAAACCAAACATCAGATTGGTCTGATATTGACAGGGGTTCACCCTGAGGTGGTCTGATCACTGTGAAGTGAAATAAGTCAGTGGAAACAGGAGGTTTTCTTTTAACATCAGTTTGAATCTTGGCTGAATCTAATCTAATACTTTCTTTAGATACTTGTGTTGTCTTAAGCATTTATTTATTTATTTATTTATTCATTCAATCGTTTCTGCCACACCAATTGCATTATGTTCAGCAGAAGCTAAGATTACCGTAATGCCTAGAAAAAACACGCATCGCAAGAATGAAGAGCAGTGCGCTCGTCTCATCCAGTACAGTCCCAGACGGGCTCTGTGTCTGTCAGACGGTCTAAAGGGGGTAGAAGCCTACGACCGTATCAGCTGAGCAATAACGCAGGGTAATGCACAGCAGAGGGGCAGGTAGATTTTGTTAAAATATATGACTTCATTCTCATTACATCTCGCAATATTATATCTGAAATTGTCATCTGCAAATGTCAGAGAACACAGATATGTGGGAGAGATTTTAATGTGCAGAAAGTTTTGAACATGAGCAGGAAACCTGCTGAAACACAGCTCTTAAGGTGCACGGGTTTATAACTGAATTAAAATGAATTAATTTATCATTGAGGTGAAAAGGTGTAACGTGCACATTTAAATACTTTAGGTTACTTCAGTCATGCCTGCATGTGTGTTGACTCAGCAGGGATGAAATAAAATTATAAAAAACAGGAGAAACATATTTGACAGCAATACAGAATGCCTGAGAGCCTCACAGCACTACATTACACTATATTTGTATTTATTGAATTGTCACCTGAGTTTCCTTTCATATAAATAAAGACATTTCCTCAATGAATTGGTGCAGAAAAATTCACCAGAATGCAGGAAATTAAGCGTTGAATGTTAAAACCCTGCTAACAACTATTTCTTCAATACATTTTTTTCCCCCCAAATACTAAGCCTATTAACATATATTGTTGTGTTGTTGTCATGGCCCCACTATTGTGCAGTGTCAAGTGTCATAAGCCCTTAAAAGCAAGGATGGTGTATCGGTGAGGGATGTCCGACCGATTTTGGTGGACCGCCTGGGCCAAAAATGCCAGGGCCGATTTTTTGTCCCATTCCAGCCCTGAACATGTTAATCAGTCTCTCTTCAGTGAGGAGTAAAGACGATATCAGATCAATCCGAACCAGCTAAGTTGTCTCTGCTTTGGTTTTATTTCTCAATAAAAAATGTTCAGAAGTAATCCTTTTCAGATTACACTGAATGCTGAAAACACAACCTGAATCCCACCGTGAGGATGTTTAGCTTTATCAAGCCTACAGGCTAAACCTTTTATTTAATACACAATCACCACATCAATACAAAATGAACTTTTCTTTAAATGTTTGAGCACATGGTGGAGCAAAATATTCTATTTGTTTTTATAATCTTGTAAAAACCTCGTCCTTCAAACTACAGGTTTGTCTGTGTAGCCTATGTGATGTTGTGCTGCCACCCTGTGGACAACGTTTGATAGGACTTTAAGTGATTTTCTGTTATTCTTTAGAAACCATGTGCATTCTGGTGAATTTTTCAGCTCCAATTCATGGTGGAAATGTCTTTATTGATATAAAAGGGAAACACAATGAATTATTTAATGAGGTAAATCAATTCAGTTATAAACTCCAGCAGTTTTCTGCTCATAGTCAAAACTTTCTGCACATTCAGAATCTCTCTCACATATCTGTTCTCTTAACAAACTTCATGAGGACTGAGTTAGTGCGCAAAGGTCCATTCAAACCAGCACCGGACTTTTCTAGAAGAGCTTTCCATTCAAGATAATTACAGTGACAGACTGTTCTGAACTTCCCCCACTCGTGGTGACATATGGTATGTGTGCTCATGCTCCAGTCAAAGCCCTGTCTGACATAGCAGTGCCAGTAATAAGGGGCTAACTAAACTAAAACAGGAAGTAAATCTAACAGAAACACAAGAAATTATATCAAATCAGTAAAATATATCAATATCAGCAGAACAAGACTACTGAAACTCACAAAGAAACATGACGAACAAACAAAATGACAAAAGTAAAACACACTACAGATGATGATAACCAGATAACCAGATAATTCATCAGAAAGTGAACA